CCTCCTGTGCTGTCTCAACATCTTGGATTTTCTTTCCTATGTTCTCCTGTTTTTTTACATTGCAGGACAGCTGTGTTATTGTCTTTCTACAACCTAAATTGAGATCCCTCTGATATGCAGATTCTTACAATATGTCACAGTGATGCCATCCAGAGAACAGGTGGGCATTCTTGCAATGCATGAAACGCACCTTGGTGTCTCTGGAATACTCACAACCTTCATCTTGTAGAGTACAATAGCATAATCAGCTCATTGTAAATGTAAGGTAAACAGTTATAAGGTATACATGACAGTATCTAGGTACATCACAGCCAACATAGATCCCTTGGATTGAAAGATGTAAGGTATCATCAGATTCAAATCCTTGGACAAATTTTTTCCAGGTTTTGATGCAAAGTATTTTGGCGCCAAAAGATACCTCAGCTCCAATCCTAAGATATTATATGTCCAAGGGTTTACATCCAATTATGCCTCATATTCTGAAATACATGTCTACTCCTCTTTTGAGTATGTGCGTTCGGAGCTTCCAGCTCTACCTGGGGTGGGACTGCAGTGTTGGATCTCTACATCCGAATCCCTACACTTGCCGTCCTGCTAGGCTTAGGGTTAGTCTAGGAGGAGGTGAGTGTTTGGGGGGGCCCCTTGGGCCTCTCTCGGGGCTCCATCTAGACCTTAGGATCCGTATCCCTTTGGTGATCTAGCGGATCGAGAAGAGGCTCCAGGGGGGGATTCACCGAATGTCGAGTACGGGTGCTGTCAGACCCCTCTCTCTGGGCATGGGAACCGTGTTCGGAGTCCTGACAAGCTCCCCTACCTCTGAATTCGGTGCCCCTGCCACCCTCATGTCTCTCTTGTATCAAAGGAAACTCACGCTTATGAATTAGCAATGTTCGCACATGTTCACACTGTATCCATTTATATTGGATGTATGCGCTTAAACCCCGCTATGAACCAGTACATTTGTTATTTCAATCTGTCGATGAGGGCATTTAAGGTTCTATTCATTTTCTCAATTTACACAGCGTTGTGACCGTTTCTTTCTGAGTTTCTTCGGAATAAGGTTTAATGTACCGTTTGTATGAGTCACCTTCCCATCTACCTTGTAGCTTGATTGCCTCTATTGACGATCCATGAAAATTCAATAATGAAGCACCGCCGACTCGAAACGAGTGGCCTGTTGGGCCTTCCGAACTGTTCCTTCGCCATATCTCATTGACGGTCTTCATCACTTCAGCTTTTGACAGTATCCAGCGTTGGCCATCCCTAACGTAAGAGAACAGTGGGTCCCCTTGTCTTATTCTGTTTACTTTTACCGTCATCCTCAATGCATCTACTGGGTCCAGCGCTGTTGGTTGCTTCTTCAGCATCAGGTACTGTACTTCATTTTCTTTTGCCGTCTTTGCTTGATGAATTGCTAATTCGAGACTGCCGTTTTCTTTAATCATACACAGGTCTTCCAGCTTCGGGATCTTCTTTTCTGGTTTGTCCGACACCAATTCTCCGAGCCTTGCTAGTCCCCAGAAAGCCACCAGCGTCACTGCTACGATGGCCGTTGCTCTATTCCCACCACCTTCTAAACTACTTCGTATCTGTTCTAGGTGCGATACGAGGACTGGTTGCTTTCCTTCGGTCTCTGATCGCTCTTTTCCTGACTTGTTTGCTAAATCTGACTCCCGTTTTTTCAATTCGTACTTCTTTGAGGCTTTTAGTGATAGTCTTACTACGTCCTCATCTACCTCCGGGAATGCTAACTGGTGCAACTTATGCCACGCCTTGAGGCCTACCAAGTATTTTCTAATTGTATCTGATTTTACTGCATGTTTTGACGTGTCATCTGGGTTCCGCCTTTCGCTTGCCCATAGTACAAAGTCATAGATTAACTTCTTTGTAGCCGGTAAGCATTGGCATCTACTTCTTCCTTCTAGTTCATTAAACTTCACATATTTCTTAATACCCGAGTTGTATAATTTCATCGTGTCTTCAACCCAACCTCCACCTATGATGTGTTCTACTAACTGTTTTTCTGACACTGTTTGATTGCCGTCTGGGCCGTTTCTAAACTCATCTAGGTTTGGTGGGTTCTTGGGTTTTGGGTGTTTAGGACCTCCGTTTGATTGGTTCATGTCGCTTGAATTCTTGTTTTATTAATCCTTTCAGATCGTGAGGTACTGGAATATAGATTTGTCTGTCTAGGTCCTCGTCGGAGTTGTCGCCTCTCGATAACGCGTCTGCTGGGTTCTCTTCCGAAGTTACTCTTGTTTCTTTAAGGTCGCATTGATAATCGGTAAGCAATCTCTGAATAATTTTCCATTCTTTGTTTACGGAACGGTCCTTTGACTTCCTGTTTCGCACGACTCCTTCCGTAGTGGTGTTATCCGTGTGGACTATGAAACGTCGACCACCTGTTTCATATTTCTTCTTCACCATCAACAAGCCTATTCTGATTACGATCGTCTCAGCCCAGGCTATTCGCCTTGGCTCCTCATCTCGCTTCAGATTGTATGTTTCCCAGCTCTCGAGTAGCTCGAACATGGCCCATGAGGACCCTACTTTCAGGCCCAAACCGTATGACGTTGATGCGTCACCGAACCAGTTGATTTAGTATGGAGTTTTGTCTGGTAACATCCGTAAGTTCCTGAAGTTTTTTAGTGTATAGTCCCAGTGTGCTAAGTCTTCTTTCACGTCTTCTGGTAGATGCTTCTTTATCCATTGGTTTCCCCACGATTTCTTACAGTGGTGCATTGATCGCATATACGGTTTCAGATGTGGGAGAATTAGTAGCGTATGACACAGCCTTCCGACGAAGCCTTCGAACTCTTTGTATGACACTCTTTCTTGGGTTGTGAGCATTTTCTCTGTCTCCTCTCTTCTCATGTTCAGCTTTTCTTCTGGAAGTCTAACGAGTGTGATCGATCCCGTTCCATACGAAGCCGACGTC